ATTAGAGTTTTTCTTAAGTTTCTTTTCTAACAGATTTAATCTTTTAATTGCAATGGTTTTAGATCTTCCGTATATACACTTCGGACTCGATTCCTTGAATGGTAATCGAACTACATAACGCCCATCATTATCTCTTACAGTAGTTCTTTCAAATATCTCTTCACATCTAATCTCTTCTTTAGTTAGCTTTCTTCCAATTAAATCCGGTTCTCTTTCAATTTCCCAAAATTGTTTCAGTAAACTATCTATATTAACTTGTAAGTGAAGACTAACGACTCTTGGGTCGAATTCATCTTGTTGGCTCATTTTTCCGGACAAAATCCATCCTAACTGAGTGTTTTGTGCCACAGGCCCAACATCCGATGGGTGTTTCAATAGTCCACTCAATATTATTTGACTGTAGACTTCAACCCCTAAAATAATATCTATTTTACCAGGCGAGTCATAATGAGGATCAGCCAACGGTAAGTTATTAATATCAGGCCAGTTCAGAATGGAAGACTTACTCGATGGAAGAAATGAAGTCAACGAAGATAAAATAAAAGCGTTCACTGAAATGGAAAAGTCAGGATTATTTATGGATTCTATCTCAAAATGAACAATATTTTTAGTTTTTAGTTTACCGTCACCTACACCAGTTACTAAACCATTTACTGGTGTACGCTTAAGACATAAAGATTGAGCGATACTCTCAGTAACAAAAGAAGCTTCGGAACCCTGATCAATCAGAACCCGCGCTGTTTGAATGTAGCCATTTGTGGATTTAACCTTGACTAAAGCCGTGGCTAATAGCACCTTAACTTGATGCTCCTCTTTTGCAAAATGAGCTACTACCTTTTTCTCATAATCTAAACTTTGCGGACTACTAGTTACATTACCAGAAGATTGATCAGTACTTGTGGACGGCAACTGGGCCACGACAGCTTCTTGTGATGAAATTCTCTCTATATGTAGCAGTGTGTGATGACGCCTGCCACACCGACGACAGCACGTGGATTGATGGCAGTTTCTCACATTGTGGTTGGATGAAAAACAATTGAAACAAAGTCTCTTGGTATTAACAAACTCGGATCTCTCTTCGGGAGACTTGCTTGCAAATTGTTTACATTGGAATAATAAATGGGGATTCGAACACAACACGCATGCTTTATTTTGTTCTTTATTCTCTCTCTTATTCTCTTGTACAGTTGAATGAAATACTTTTTGTTTTGTGATTTGCTTAGTATTTACGTTATATTTCACAGGTTGTTTTGCGTCATAGATCATTTCTAGGGTTCTAAATCTCGTTTCCAGAAATTGAACTAATTGGTTCCACGTTGGAAATTCATCAGTTGTAGAGCGACCAATTTCCGTTTCCCATTATTACTTTTTTATATGTTCTGTGATTACTTACATTGAAGACATATATTTTTTATTTTAAATAAAAAATATATGTATATATGTATAAAGTATATTTTTTATTATTTATTTTAATTTATTTGCAGTTTGTAAATAATGACAAACAATTTATAATTAATACGGAGACACGTAAACATTAATTTACTATTTTATCATTAAATAGAACAACGTTACAACATAACGAATATTGTTATTTTTGACTTCGTAACTAAATGGCATATTCTTTGTAAATGTCTATACTGCAGTGAGGGCTGGTGAGTTTCTTTCGCTTGTTCTTCTTGTCAGCCAAAAGATCTCTTGAACAAGAACAAAAGATTTTGGACGATTCATGAGTACTTATTATAACTTTAATAAAGATTTTTTGGCTTTTGACGAATTCGACCTCCTTTGTGTTTTATCCATAAAATTAAGACGTGAACAAAAAAAAACAAAAAAAAGAAACCAGACTCTTTTTCTTCAACGACTTATGTATGCCGTCTAAGAAGTATAAGACTTAGTTGAACATATAAACTCCTCCTTTTGGATTTCGAAGTCGGTTATAAACAAATAGTAGGGGAGCCCACGATGCTAAATCGGGATTTACTCGAGCGTCATAGAGACCTATTGGGTTACGAAGCTTAGATGATAACAAAAAAAGAAATTTCATATAGTATATACCTTTTCATCGGTGGGGGAAGCGGCTATAGATTTTTAAAAATGTAAAAAAAAAACTGTTGTATTAACATACTCGAGCGCGTCAGATATTAATATCATCCATGTCCTACGCATTTTTAAAAACTGTCATATGTTAATCTGGTCGTTTCCATGATGGGGGTGGTTATACGTAAGGATTGAAAATGAAAAAAAAAATTAATCGAGCGCGTCAGATTTTTTGAGGGGATGTCAAGTGAACCTAAAAAAAAACTCTCATATAATAATCTGACGATTTGGATGTGACGCAAACGCGTGACCATTATTAGAATGTGCAAAAAAATCGCCATTTTGAAATACTCAAGCGCGTCAGATTAAGATATATATGGTTCATCTTTATGCCCCAGACGTGATATCTCTTAATCTGACGATTATCTGAAGGGATTTACCTAATCTGACAATTCTTTTTTTATTTTTTCAAATCATTGAGCTTAATTTAATAGGAAAGCACCGGAATTTGCATGCAAATGAAAAAGTGCATATTTTTTATGTAGAATACTTATATTTATAAGAAAATGATTATCTTAAAAAAAAAAAATTTTTTTTTTATTCATTATCATCTTCATCGCTAGAATCATCTTCTTCTTATTCTCTTAGTAAATATGTAAAAAGTTTAATTCACAAAATTTACATTAAAATAACAAAATAAGCAAAAACGTTGGAAATACGATGTAAACGCCACGACAAGTCTGTGTCATCAGCTGTCATGGCTTCATGGCAACCGAAACCAGAGTGGGGACGGAGTGAGAGAGTAATAGATAGAAAAAGAGTGAGAGAGAAATAGTGATGCGGAGAAGGAAATATAGGTATCACGTAACTGCACGCATTAAATCTTATCGATGAAGTTTTATTACTCCGGCTTGTGAAAATCATCAGATTATATATTTTTCGTAATCCTTGAATGATTCCCTTCAAAATTTAAAAAAAAATTAACCACGCTCAAGAATGTCAAAGTTACTTATTTTTTACAATTTTGTAGCCTTCCCCCTTCTTTACGTCACTCTCAAAGAGAGATTAGAGGTATGTACACATTTTAGCATGTAACTAGATCACCTTACCTTAATCTGACGCGCTCGAGATTTTCAGATGATCAATTTTTTTTTACTAATCTGATCCTTCGTCCTTGCCGGGCGGCCATTTATATAGGGCTCATACTTGGTCCAGGTACTTAACTGGGTACAAGGTATCCCCCTGTATATTAATCTGCCACGCTTTAGTAAATCCCGAAATCCCCGCTTGGGCTCCCCTACTAAAAGCTGATGATGATATTTGTTGAAGCAAACGGGGGAAATATTTAAATAATAAATCATATTATTAATTAAGGTTTATTTAAGCATACAGAATTATACAAAAAGCATTTGATTAGTGTTTTTTGCACGAGGTTTTAAGTAATGTTAAGTAGAATGTTAAATGCTTCACAGAAAATCTAAATTACATTTTAAGTATCTAATAATAAAATACAAAAAAAAACAAATGAATTTTTTATTAGGTAAATGTAAATCATCATTATGAAGGCACGATTTTTAAAATGTAATAAGTAAACACCATAATGACAGTATCACAAACTGCAAATGTTCACTCTGCTCGATAACTTTTCATTATATTTTTGCCATATCCAATTAGTTTTAAAAACTGTGATATCGAAAGTTCTTCTATCAATAGCGGAAAGTACATTCGCTTAATTTACACGGTTACACTCATCTAAATAGTTAGCACATAAAACACATTAACAACAAACATAGGTAGATATATTTTCAATTAGAATATTAAGTGGTTATCTAAATGAAATTGTAATTAATATTACGTTCGAATTTAACCGATATCAAATTTAATTTAAAGTTTTACCACTGGTTCGGAATATGACTTTGTTGAGAAGAACCAGCAAGAAACTCAACAGTTCATAAAACCTAAACCTACCTAAAATATATAACTAAACGCATCATGATAATATTAATACAAAACAGTAATATAAGACAATTGAAATTCGAAATAAATATAAACAGCATTGATAAATAGTGGGCCAGCGTATGGCTGATGACGATAGATAAATAAGTATAACGCATAATATGGCGTCATAGTCTAAGCAGTTTAATACAAAATGCTTAAAAGTACACCAGCCAGCCGCCAGCCGGACTGCCGGATATTTTAAACATTTTTCATTAAAAAGTATTTATCAAAACAGTATTGTGAATAGCAAATTTATCAAATATAATAACATTAAAATAAATGAAACAACTTTTAAACAGTTTCATCGCATTTATATTTTTCTTTTATTGATGCCGCGGACCCTTTACAGGTTCCCTGTTCACATAAAACTAAGATGTTGATTGTCTTTTAATTAAGAGTATAGTTACCATCATAACAACACTATTGGTCACGTTCAAAATAAAAAAAAATGGAAACGATTACATTTATTAATTAAATTATTTCATAAATACATTTGACTTATTTATTTACCGTTGGCTACCATAAAATACTAAATTAAGGAGTCCGACAAGAAAAGTGGATTGGTGCTTCCTTCGATTTAATATTCATAGAATGAATTAACTGTTTCTTGTTTAGAGACGAAGGTTTTAATATACCACTGGATCCAGTAATTAGTCAAACAAAATCACAATCTAGATGACACATTGCAAAACCTATTTTGTATTAAAAAAAAAAAAAATTAAAAAGACAATCAATTCTAAGATCAACACCTTAGGCTTCAATCAACAATACTAATAATAATTGTATTGTGGATCGAAGACCTTACTCTTATGATATACCTACTTTTACTCTTTGGTCTTATGTGAACACGGAACCTGTAAAGGGTCCATCAATAATACGTCAATAGAAGAAAAACACAAACACGATGATACCATTTAAAAATTGTTTCATTTATGGATAGCGCGTGAAAATATAATAAATCAATAAATATAACAGCTGTTTATTTAAGTATTAGATATGAACAAATTAAAATTTCTTATGATGATGCCTGGCTGTCTCATCTAGTACACATTGCTGTTGATGCTTTTGAACTTTAGCATTACATTCATGTTTTATTTATGATATTCTTAGTAAGTAGGATCAAATTCTTCATTTCCATCTTTATCATCAAAACAGACAATCACGTCTAAAATATGACATGATGATAAAATAATTGTATTATTCTGAACTTGAAGTACTATCCTGACTCTTCTACCGAATTCTGAACGGTACACGTCGTAAACAAGTCGACTTCTGATCCCAGCTTGTAACTCTCCGTATTGAGGAGAATTTAACACTCTGGGCATTATGCTTCTAATAAGTTGGAAGTATTCGTGGATGCTCAGAACCCGACTACTGGCCGGTACGAACTTGTGCTTGAAGTAATGAGTGACAGCTGTGATAATGCTCGCAAAAGTAGGTTGCAAGTTTGTCCAAGCCTCTAAAATGTGAGTTCGAAGACTCCTAAAAATGTTAAGTATGTTGTTAGCACTGCCCGGTTCTAAGATTTCTTTCAATACGATTTTTAAATTCTCTGCACGTCGCTGGTGAAATGGTGTTTGAGGGTTACGGCTGCTCTGCATTTCATGACGCCGAGCTAAGCGGTCTGTAACATATGAAGCCACCATTTCGGTCAAATACATAAAATTAGCGAAAGTCACCTCCGACCGATCCAACTGCTTAAATATATTTTCAACAGTTTCAATAACTCTTTCGATAATACCATCATTCCTCAATGCTTGAATGAGTTTCTTTAAACTGTTTTTTCTAGCTCTGTCTGTGGGTTGTCCACTAGTGATCTCCCTGAACAGATGTACCCCAGCGATTTGTATATCATTCAAACTCGTTATCATCTTACCAAATAATCTAAAAAATACATCAAAATGAGACTCGGTATTCGTTTGATTAGTTTGGTGGCCAGAGTTAGGGTTATTTTTGTTATTTTGAGGTGGTTGTCCACCGCTGCCACTGTTAGTCGATGTGTTAGTTGACTTGTTGGTATTGGTACCAGAATTGGAATTGGATTTCGAAGATTTTGATCCAGTACTTGACGTATTTTTATTACTGTTGCCAGAGTTTCTAGAAGATGATCCACTAGAGGACGATCCACCCGAGCATTCGTTATGTTCTATCGCTTTGGCTACTTCGCGCGTTGTCCTTCCTGCTGCAGCGGTCGCAACCATTGCTTTTGTTGTACTTTTTGCGACAACCGTAACTGCATCTTTAACGAGTGACTTGCCTATCTCTTTAGGTATGTTAGCAGCGATACTTCCTCCTGTAGCACCACTGAGGGCATCTGAGCCAACATATAACCCAGTTTTTATCACCGACTTTATAGGTAGTTTTCCCTTTGTGATGTCATGTGCTACATCTTTAATTCCATCGAAAACGCCTTCTGCACGATGATTGGCCACAGACGAAATACCATCAACAGCTGAGCCTGCAGCGATGGCACCACCAATCATTCCTGCTGGTCCACCAACCATAGCACCGGCAGCACCTCCCGCCATAACCACCGTAGTTCTATTTGCTGCCTTAAAGGCCTCAGCAGCTTCATACCTATCTCCGGAAAGAGCATGGAGACCAGCTTTGGCATGGCCTATTACAGGTATACCGTTTAAAATATCTCCTAACCCCATCTTAATAGAAAACCAGACTTTAAATTAATGCGTCCACCAAGTATGGGAAGCGGGGATACCGCGGTGAGGTTGTCTAGCTTGCGGTTCGTCTTCAGAGTCACTGGTGTCGTCACGCCAACGTTCGATAACCGTATCAAGAAGTGCTGCACTGTCACAGATTCCCTCCCTACGAAGTTTAGAAGACGCTTCGGCTCCTAGAAAGTCGTCTAAAAGAAATTGCAGCGAGGAACGCTCTCGGAGCAGAGAGTCTTCAAGACGTGTCCGAAAAATACAAGCCAAACGTTCGCAGCGTGCGCGTACAGACAACGCCGCTGCGTCTAGCAAAGGCACAAGAGAAGTTAGCTCTGGTTTGGAGAATTCTACGTGTGTTAAAGCTCCCTCCCAGACGAGTGCCAGAAAGCGACTGGTAGCTGCGTCACTTCTGCGGGCTCCCTCGTCGGTTGTGTAGTCCGCACGCTGGAGTTCCCGGAGACACTCGATCAGCCTCGTTTTCACAGACATTCCAACACGAGATCTGTGATAAACAAAAATGTAAAATTTTATAATTTTCAGGAGCTGATAGTATATTAAAGTTATGGTAAATCATTCTTCAGGGTTCGAACTATAATTCATATTGCTTGCATCGTATTTAGTTGTAAAATGTACGAGTATAAAAGACCGAAATCGATCTACAGGACTTTTGTTTGGATACGTAATATTTTATCAAAAATATTTTATCCGACATACAAATGTTAATAACAGGTACACACGGCTGTACGTCAGGTTACACTGTAAAATTTTCATAATTGATTTTCAATTCTACCTTCAATACATTAAATCAAAAGTCGTCAAGAAAGACATTTGTATAAACGGCAGAGCGATTCTGTAAAAATCCGAACCCATTTTGAATTCACTCAGGTGTTTTCAACGAATTCAATTGTATGTGACATCTTCTTAACCTTGAATATGTATTAACCTTTTGTCGTGGCATAAGTAAAGTAAGTTTCGAAATGACATAAGGATAGAATATCTGAGACAATGTGTAAATTCGGTAATGGTGATGACTGCGAGGTTTGTTGCAGCTTGTTCATGTGCGGACGGCGCACAAATGTTTTTTAGTTACTGATTGGGGGTGGATGTTGGTAAATATCGTGTCACCTTGTAGTACAGTGAAATATTTCAATATTTATATAATGACTTACATTACATTCACACTGTAAATACACCATCAGTACCTATACAAATCTTTTCCTTTTTTTAATTTAAACTTGTTTTCCTTAACCACTTGACTTCAATAGAAGGTTCATGGGCACATGAACCGTCTCTAAGATAAGTATTATTTTTCAATATTTGAAGTCGTCCATTTTTTTATTTGTAGGGCCTTAATAAAATTTCTAGTAAAGATAAAATTAGAAAATAAATTAAAAGAAACGAATAATACTATATTCTACTTTCTTTAACTACCTATCTATGCCGTCTATCTACTACTCGTGTGAATTGACATGGCACCTGTCTATTTTCGTACGAGAACGAATAGAATACAGCCTCAGGTATCATGTTAATGCGCACGAGTTACCTATATTTGTTATTTTGAAAACATGAACCGATTTCGAATTTTTTATATATTCTGGGTAGCGACCGTCGTCCTCTCTCTTGCTATAACTCCATAGCTTTAATGTTTTTTTTAATTTTGTAAATGAATATGTTGATATTATTTTATTATATTATCTGTTTTATCATTTACATATTTAGTTAATAATTATGGTTGTTCTTGTATTTTGAATTTACTAAATTTGAAAAAGTCAAATTTAAACGAAGTTCTTTGGAAAACTAAAATATTACATTACACATATTAATGAAAAATTCTTTAAAAATCCACTTTGTCCCTGGTAATAATGATAATAAACATTCCGTTATGAAAGAATACCAACATCTTATTCATTGATTGATTTTATTAAAGATTACGTTCATAATTTAGTTTTATTAATGTATAATCTAAGTTATTAACATATATTATATAAACCATTAATCAATGGTTTTGGATATTTTTGTTTATTGAATGATTATATTTTGAATAAATGAAATAACTCGAATTTAGCCAAACAAAGCTATTTCGAAAAGAAAAATAAACCAATTGTTTGTTTAAATATATAAATAATAAAAACAGTTATAAAAGAATATTAACAGATTTATTGACAAAAAACGTTCTTATAGCTATGGCTAGAAAGTTAGACGATAAAGCAAATGCAGGTAATATTTAAATAATAAACCAATTGATTACATAATAAAAGTTTATTTAAAAAATATACGAGAACTTGATAACGATAAAACGCGTGTTGCACGCCGATTGGCCACAGACAAAACACCATCAACAGCTGAGCCTGCAGCGATGGCGCCACCAATCATTCCTGCTGGTCCACCAACTATACCACCGGCAGCATCTGCAGCCATACCCACCGTAGTTCTATTTGCTGCCTTAAAGGCCTCATCAGCTGCATATCTATTTCCGGAAAGAGCATGGAGACCAGATTTGGCATGGCCTATTACGGGTATACCGTTTAAAATATCTCCCAACCCCATGTTAATAGTTAGAAAATTAATTAAATTAATACGTCCACCAAGTGTGGGAAGCGGGGACACCGTGGTGAGGTTGTCTAGGTTGTAGTTCGTCTTCAGAGTCACTGGTGTCGTCACGCAAACGTTCGATAACCGTATCAAGAAGTGCTGCACTCTCACAGATTCCCCCCCCCTGAGAGGTTTAGAAAACGTTTCGTCTCCTAGAAAGCCGTCTAGAAGAAATTGCAGCGAGGAACGCTCTCGGAGCAGAGAGTCTTCGAGACGTGTACGAAAAATACAAGCTAAACGTTCACAGCGGAGAGACAGCACCGCTGCGTCTACCAAAGGTACAAGAGAAGTTAGCTCTGATTCGGAGAATTCTACGTGTGTTAGGGCTCCCTCCCAGACGAGAGCCAGGAAGCAGCTTGTAGCTGCATCACTGCTGCGAGCTGCCTGGTCTGTTGTGTAGTCCGCACACTGGAGTTCCCGGAGACACTCGATAAGCACTGTTTTCAAATACATTCCAACGTGAGATCTGAAATAATCAAACCAGTAAATTTTAATCATTTACATGCAATGCATATTAAAGTTCTGAAATTTATTACGATATTTTATAAAAATTGTAAAAATTGACAACTCGTAATTCGCTAATACAAAGAGACCGGTTTTTGGGTAGCTTTGTTTGAACTATGATATAATTTTAAAACGTAAAGGAAAATATCAAATTTTTGTTCGGATAGACAAATTTATATTAAAAGAATAGCGTAGTATTTATTTATTTATTTCATGCTTTATTATACACAAGTTTTTCAGATTAAATATTTGGGATTTTTTAAACAAAAGGCATTTGAATGATCGTGAGAAGGTTGTTAGGGAAAGTCTAAACAAAACAAGAAGAAGAAAAAATATAAATAATAGAAGTAGCTCGGTGGCGTAGTGGATAAGCGCCGCGGCCCGCGACCGTAGTCGTTAAGCAACTTTCGCAAGGGTCGGCCACGGGATGGGTGAACAAAAAATTATTATCTCGAGCTACTCCGTGCTTCGGAAGGCACGTTAAGCCGGTGGTCCCGGCTGCATTTGCAGTCGTTAATACCCTCTAATCCGCATTGGGCCGGCGTGGAGGGTCGTGGCCCATCCTCCTTAACCATCCATAAGGAAGGCCTGAGCCCCTGCAGTGGGGACGTAAAAGGGCTGGTGATGAAATAATAGAAAGCTGAAACAGAGTAACATTACATTGGCGAGTGATAAAATCTTTGAGGAAAATGAAGTAATAATCATTAATGAAGTACCCGTTTGTTTTCCGTAAAAACTTTCTTTCTCATTATTATTGTGTTTTAATATTTGAGTTTCTTACTGTTTTATTATTGATTAGTATAAGGTGTTTACCTATAACTGGCTGTGCATTTAGCTTTAAGCCACTACACTTTATATAAATCTTTAATTTACTTACAAAATTCTAAATATTTCCATAAACAATGGTGCCTTTTTAATAAAATGTCAATAGTTAGCTATTATGGAGAATGATAATCTTGAGTTCGCGCCAGAGTAGGGGAACCCCAAAAGTAACATTTTGGCCCATATGGGTAATGTACCCATGCAAACTTACAGTAATATAGATCCAACACGGTGCACGAGCAGGGTTTAGAGGCGCGCACTATTAAATTTCTGCCCCGGTGTAAAAGAAATCTTCGATCTGGGCCTGATTAAACTTAACATATAATACATATTATATACACGCCGTTTTATATACTCACCCTGAAAAAGTGTCTAGGGACATGGTAGTGGCCCGCCAAAGCCGAGCCCAAAGATAAATCGAAGAGAAAGGACACTACCTACTTACTTTTTCTCAAAACGCTTTGTCGTTTTTAACCGACTTCAAAATCGAAAAGGAGGTTATATGTTCGACGCATACCGTCGAACCGTCACCAATATTTTCGTCAATTTTTAACCGATTTTCAAAATTCTTCTTTTTTTTAGAATCAATCAAAAATCTTTTTATTCGACAGCTTGTTGGTCGAGGTGGTCTTATTTAAATTTTATCGAAATCGAATAAGTAGTTTTCCTTTTGTTACAAGAAAAAAGTCGCTTTCCAACAGACATCATCTAAATATTACGATGATATGTTATGACATGGCCTATTTTAACTAAAAACAAAATGCATGTTTAGAATAATATTTAGAATTTAAAAATTCAAAATTTTTATATATATATATATCGGTCTATAAATCGGTCCAATAGTTTCGGGGCCTATCCAATGCAAACAAACAAGCAATCAAATCTTTTCTCTTTAGAATATGAATTGAATATAGATTATTCGAAAAAATTATGTCGAGCAAATGCACAAAATTTATATATTTTTAAAACACTAAAAATATTAAATATCTATATTTAATATTTTTATTATAAGTCGTAACGTTAAACAATCGATAAACACGCCTAGGTTTTTAACTGTCTTCAAAAAATGAAGTTCTCAGTTAGGCCTGTACGATATTTAAATAAATTTATTAAGAACTTGCACCTAACGATAGATTTATTATAAAAAAAGGAGAAGAAGAAATAAAACATATTAAGATAAGAAAATAAGTCAAAGATAGAAGAGGGGATATATGAAAATGGGTTATGCGAGATAAAACAAAATGTGGAAGAGGGAAAAGCAAAGATAAAATGAATGTATAGGACACGATAAGAAAACACAAAAGAAAATTAGAAAACAACTATTGAATGTTCAGAAGGAAATGAAAGAACTTATTAAGGTAAAGGGAGAACAGAATAGATTCACAGGATATTAAAATAATGATGAAAAACAGGAAACATATGCTGAGAAAATAAAGACTACATCATGTGGCAGAGGAAACATTACACTCTATTAAAGTGTCGTCGACGGACGAGCAGCATACGAGCGGTCAAGTGAGAGAGGTGGTGAGAGAGGTCCTGTCCTGTGAGGAGGGAGAACCTGTAAACTTTACAGTGTAAAGGGTCCGAAACGTCAATAAAACTAAATACAAACGCGATAACGCCGTTTAAAAGTTATTTCATTTACGGATAGTCCGCGCGAAAACATAAGAAATCAATATGCATTATTTCTCATATCCCTTATTTATTTCAGTAGGTGTTCGAAACGGCCTTTTTTTTTATCAAAACAACACTAAAGCGTTGGGGTGCGAAAACTTGACTTTGTCGTTGATTAATTCATTTTACACATCATGTTTCATACTAACAGTAGTTACATTAGACCTAGACAATTGGTATCTAAAAAGAAATAAAGTGAGTTTTATTTTTCAAAACGTTCGTGTTTCGATAAATATGTGAATGCAGTTTATATTTTCAAAAATCGATGATATAGTTCCTAAGAACAGATAGACCCTAGTATATCTTATTATTGGAATAAAGTTATTGATGAAAAGTCAAGCAAACAATATTTGACTTTTAAAATAAGAATCATGAAACCTTATGCAATAATATACCTAGGTATTAACGCATCCAGAACGTTGTCAGATGTGAAACCACACTATTCAACGATTGACAAAGAAGCATAGGGTATAATTTACGCAGTAACACAATTTCATCATTATGTCTACGGTGGAAAGTTTACATTACATTACTAATAGATTACAAGGCGTTAGAAAGAATATTAAGCCAACACGAAAACACCCTTTACAGTAGAATATAATTCAACCAAAGAAAATACACCAGCGGATGCTCTTTCCAAACTACCACAATAAATGGTTATAAATGATACACTTACATTTTGCTCATTTGCTTCACTTACGACTTCAAAATGTTTCTATAACGCGACAGACTCTTAAGCAAAAGGTCGAGAAAGATACAATCCTGAACAAAATAACAGGCCACGAAGATATCTATACATATCATGAAAAACTTGACGAATAATCAGCAAAACAAGGATTACGCTTATGGAACGGTAGGCTGTGTATATACACTTATTTTCTTCATTTAAACACAAAACCACTAATCCAATTCAGATAAAGTTCTTTCAAAAATAATCGTAAAATCGTTCCACTACTAACGAATATAGGTATATTAAATCATTTCAAAATAGACTACTGGAAATACCAACATCACGCAGACAAAGTTACGAGAAAAAGCTAGTATATTAATATAATTGTACTTTTATTTGTAAACCAAATAAATAAAAATAAAAAATATGTGGCCAAATATATATCTGCAAATTTTAGAATACACGTGTTTAGATGCAGCATTAGGAATTGCTTCATTCCAATGAAATTACATAAATATAGGTCTAATTGACTACCTCCTTTTTAAATCGGTTAAAATCTCTTAAATAGTTTCGCTTTGATCTCACCCCCCTGCATTACGCGAACAGTTGAGTATTATAAAATATGGTAGAGTTAAAGTTTATATGGAGAATTTGTTTCTTATTAATTTGATGTATTTTTATGTCAAATTTATATTAAGTACTATTATTTTGCACTATTTATACATACTATAAACTTAAACTGCCAAATTTAATGTGTAACTAATGACACACTTCCATGACTTTTCACTTATTTATAGAATGTAAAATAACGTTATAAAAGTAGGTTTATCTTTTATTATTTTATGATCTTTGATAACAAAATCTTAATAAACTTAAGAATTATGACAATTGAGCGACGTCTAGTATTGAAAAATGTACGTACAATTCCGTCGGGAACCGGCAGGCGACTTCAAATTTTCAATATTTGGTTTACCATTGTGTCTAGCACGAGGTATTCATCGCAAAGTAACAAAACTGTATGAGCTACGAAGAGCGATTCCTACGTGTGTGGTTTGATTCTATATATAGTTTTAAGTACATACATCTAAACACGCCATGTGCATAGGAATTACCGATAAATAATGCTGAATGGAAAACAAAAAGCGCGCTTTATAAAATCGGGCAAGTCTGGACTATGCAATAATGTGCAGTTCGTTGTATAATGTTCTTTATTTATACATTTAATCAATACCGATACCGATTTCTACTTAAATTTATGCCAATTCGGCAACGCAGATGTGAACTCTAACCACCCTTTTCTCATTTGTAGGCTGATGTTCCTTCCTATCTTATTCTCCACCACTTGAAGAATCTCTAAGTAACTCTAAAAATCTGAGTTATGCTTCTAATTGCACAGGTGTCGCAATGCTATTTTTCTGCCGAAAAAGTTATGAAATCAACGTAAACCAGTCGATTAATTCAGCACCAATCTTTTTATGAGAACAGCTATCCAAACTTGTCATAGATTTAGGAATACTTTGCAAACGCACACAGCCAATAATCACCCAAGTACTTTTAAACCAATAAAGCTAAAAACTTAATATAGTTTTTTTTGATGTAAGATTCTTTTACCATATCCTATGCATCATCATCATATCAGCCGTTCGACACCCTCTACTGGACATAGACCTCCCCCATGGGTCTCTACGACGATCGGTCCTGCGCTGCCCGCATCCATTAGTTTCCCGCAACCTTTATTATTTCGTCGGTTCATCTAGTTGAGGACCTAGCCACTGAGAATCGT